AAACTACCTTGTGACCAATTCTTGGCACCTCGTGACCCCCTTCAGGGTGCCGGCCCCTATTTTGGGAACCCCAGTTCTATAATTTCTCTTTAATTTCCCTCAAATGGTTTTTTATATCTGATTCCCTGAATGTTTGCAAATGTTTTGCCTTTTTTATTTATCTATATTAAGGAAAACCCCATGTGACATCATGGCTTTTCTGTTCTATTCTTTAAAAGGGCTAGAAAGATGTAAGTAAATCTAAATAACATATGTATAAAAAATATATCTGCAAAACCAATTAAATTCAACAACAAAAATAGTTAAGCAAAAAATTTTAAATCCTATCAGATTTATAGTCCCCACCCTGCAGATATATTAGAATCTGTCCTTAAATTCCAGCCAAACCCATTTACACAGTAACAGATAAAAACCTTTAGATAAACCAAACATTACTGCCACATATCTGACTCTATAACCATTAAAACAACTATTTTCATTCATTACAGACGGAACTATTCACAGAGTTGATTATATTAAAGGGGAACAGTGTTTTTTTTACATTGGGCCCTTTATTTTCCGTTATTCCATCATGTTCTACTCATCCATATGAGTTTAGTGTCATTTGGAGCCGTTCTGAAGATGTTCCGTTTGGTTATATCCAAGTAACGTCTTCCTATGGGCAACGATTTGAAGGCACAAACTAAACTGTTCATCATTTACACACGCCGCTTTGTTTTAAAAACATATAAATATAAAAAATCTTAATGTCTGGGGGACAGTGATTAGCCTACATGTTCTGAATGCTGGCGTACCATAAAGAATAAATGACGAACAGTTTAGTTTAAAAAAACGGTGTTCCCCTTTAAACTGCATTTCCAATATTGACCACTGTTCGGCGCCATTTCCCTTTTTCCTCTGATCACTGAGCAGCCGGCTTGGTCTCTCAATGAATCCTGGGATACCCAAGGATAGAGAGGACACAGCGGAACCTTTCTTCTAATCGGGCAAAAAGAAGGACGCATTTGTGGGCCACATTACGAGGAGCCTTGGAATCGGACCAGACCTCAGCGCCATGCTGTGACGTAATCGGCCGACGAATCTGGCCTTCAGAGGAAGCAGCCGAAGAGTTCTGTCTCCTTGAACCCCAGTGGGCCTCAGCAGATGGCCGCTCACACTGAGCCTGGTTCTCCTGGAGGTCTCTTCCTGTTCAAAGGGAGTTTTTCCTCTCCACTGTCGCTACAAGCATGCTTAGTGTGAGGGATTGCTGAAGAGTCAATGAGTCGATGCAATCAGCTGGTTTTCCTTAAAAAAACTGAATCAATGAATGGATGATCTGGTGAACTGTAAAGTGCCTTGAGATGATGTGAATTGGAGCTATAGAAATAAACTGAATAGAATTTAATTGGTGGGAAAGGAGAGCAAAATATTTTTTTCCAAGGTTAAAAATAAATTCATTTTTTCAGCTGTTTTTATTTTATGTATATATAATGTAGCCAATAGTGATACAGTGATGCGTGATAGAATAAGCCTTTGAAACCTCCAAATTAAACCTCTTTTCCTTCAATATATGCTCTGTTTCCAATAAAATATGCTTTATGTCCAGCATTGTTACTGACTTCCGGGAATCACGCCTTAATTTTCATTAATTTATCATCTGTCTGCTACGGAAAAAACTACAAAGCGACCTTCAGGCCCAGATAGGTGCACTGTCTCTTTAAAAAATCCAAACCCCGCCCTGCCGGGTTGTGAAATTACAAAGTCCCGCCCTGGTCGGCCATATTTTTTCCATCCGTCTGCATCAACGGCCAATCATGACCGAATGTAGGCGGGATCAGAGTAGAATGACAGTGACGTCCTCCAATGAGAGCGCGGCATTGTACGTTCAACGTATATAAGACATTCCTGCCGTTTTTTTCTTTCTTTGGAATAATGTCGGCTGACTATGAAAACAGGTCGGTGAAACAGTCAATAATCCATATCAAAACGGCTTATTTTGGAGGGTTAAAGAAGCTTAAATCCAGTTAGGGAGATGTTTATGTTCCTACGGAAGGTTTTGTTTGGCAGCGCGGATCGATTAGCCGCTTAGGCCCAAACCTTGCCTCGCTGTCGTTAAATTAAACAGATGAGCGAAAAACACCGAGAGGAAAACTTAAACTTTCCGAGTTAAAGTTTTTATCTGAGATTTATCGGTCGGTATTTCTGGTGTGACGCCGGTTTCTGTGTTCGGTTTTGGTCGGTTGGGTCTAACGGCTACCGGCGCCGTGTGCAGCACGTGAGTCCAACCGCTGGCTCCGATAGAAAAAAGGCCCCAGAGGTCCCGCTGGGCCGGGGATCCTCCAGAACCGCTGCTTCTGAAGTCCGAATCATGTCGTGACCCACTCGGGGTTCGGATCCGTGTTCTGGTCCACATGGCGCAACCCCCCTCCCTGAGCGGCGGGGAACAATGCCGGCAGCAGCGGCCTCGTGGTCCGCTGACTTCCCGTCCCGTTTCTCCTTTGTAGCGTTATTTCACCGGCTGGTTCCGGTCCGGTTCGGATCTGGTAAACCGCCGGTGGTTCTGCCTTTCAGCGCCGCTTTTGTTTAGTGACGCTGAGTCCATCAGATCGGAGCTAATGTTCTGCTAGCAGGCCCGCCCGCTGTTAGCTTAGCTTCATTTTTTACGACACTTTCCCTTTTTTTTATTGTCTGTGTGTTAAAAACTTATTAACGTCCCCCTTTTAATGCGCGGCTCTGCCGGTGTTTATCGGGACATTTTGTCTCGGTACCGTGTGTCCCGGTACCGTCCCCCCCTTCATCTCGGCCCGACAGGAAAGCGACCATCTTGAATCGATCAGGCAGTAAAGATGGCGGCTCCTCCAGGCGGCCTCCGCTTCCAGGACGCGGCCTGTAGGAAGACACGCTCTGGTTTCATCACCGGTTCTCTGATAGTCGCATATTAAACCGGCTTTATGTTTATCGTGTTAAAGTCTGTTCGATCGGGTTTTTAATTCTGTTGTTTGTGTTTATTTTCAGGGATAATGGCCCGGAGGGCATGGAGCCCGATGGCATCATTGAGGTGAGTCTTCATTCTCCACATCTGATCATGCTCTGTTGGAAAATATAAATATCTGATGACTTTGGGCCAGAAATCATTTTTCCTCCATGTTTTGTTTTGTATTTCCTGGATGTAAGACCTGTTAGAGGTGATGGATGGTCAGATATCAGGCTGTGAGTGATTAAATGTTTTTGGTGTTTCCATATTTTCCTCTTCAGAGCAACTGGAACCAGATCGTGGACAGTTTCGATGAGATGAACTTGCGAGAAACTCTGCTCAGGGGAATTTATGCCTATGGTTTCGAGAAGCCATCTGCTATTCAGCAAAGGGCTATTATGCCTTGTATCAAGGGTGAGTGTCCCGCCTCGGGATGAACGTGAATAATCTGAGTTAGCGTCGCTGACCGTAACGTCTCCGTTCTGCTGTAGGTTATGACGTGATCGCCCAGGCCCAGTCTGGCACTGGGAAGACCGCCACGTTTGCCATTTCCATCCTCCAGCAGATTGATGTGGAGATGAAGGCCACCCAGGCTCTGGTTCTGGCTCCCACCAGGGAGCTGGCACAGCAGGTAGGTCCACCTGGATCCTAACTTCCTGCACAGGATCCCATTTAGCTGGATGTTAGTTTGCTCTAGATCTGGGCAGTTAATAAACACAAACTAGCAACTAGATGATCCCAACCAGGCACTCCATCCCAACTCCAGACTCTTAAAGTGAAACTAATGATACAAATTGGACAATAATTGGGGGGAGGAAGGAAAAAAGCTGCCAGTTATGCTGCAGATGGGAATTCAGTCTCCCAGACCTTGAAATATCTTTACTTTCCAGGGTAATGCTAAGATGTTCCATCACCTCCGAGATCTGTCTCTTGGCAAACAGTGGGGGGGGGGGAAATGCCATTGCTTTCCTTTAAGCGGCCGCTCATTTAGTTTCTCCTGGTGCCGCGCTAAAAATGCTTCAAAATAGATTTAGCCAGAAATGGACATTAAATTTCTACCTTCGGTGGTGGCAGCGGGATTAAAGTGGGCCTGCTGTCGCTGAGTAAAGCTAGCACGTAGATCCATGCTTTATAGTAGTGAGAACTTTTACGTTGCAGTAAAGTCCTGCTGCGCTAGATTCTGGTGAAGCCGCCTTTCAAGGTCACAAAAAGACTGAAACTCTGGAAGAAAACGGCAAAATGACAATATTGGAGGAAATTAATTGCTTTTAGATTTTTGACAATCATTCAGTCCTAATATGCTCTGATAATCTCAGGAGTTCTTCCCTCTATGTTGACGATTATGGACACAATTCTGGTCCATTATTTAAATGAAAGCCTTAATTGGCATGAAAATGAAATTTGATTACTGTGGCATTTGAAAATGACTCAAATGCGTTTATGTAAATTATTTCGTCAGATATATCAAAATACGATCGACGGAACTGCTTCCGGTCGATCGTATGTTCATAAAAGAAGCTGGAGGATGGATTTCAACAAGTGTCTAGAAAAAAACAAATTTGGGCCAAGGCTGCTGTCTGTCTACGGCAGAGATGACCAAGGGTTTTGTCGTGTTTATATGGGAGCCATGGGTGCTCGGCGATGGCATTAAAATTATTTCTAAGAGTATTAAATTAGTTACTGATTCCTGGTGAGTAGGGAGAAGCTGTGGTTGTTCAGAGAAACTCCATGGTTGTTTCTCGTGTGGCTGAACGTCGGTGCAGAAGTGAGGCTGGATTTTGCTTTTCTTTGTCCAGATCCAGAAGGTGGTTCTGGCTCTGGGCGACTACATGGGAGCCAGCTGCTATGCCTGCATCGGAGGCACCAACATCCGCAGCGAGGTCCAGAAGCTGCAGGCTGAAGCCCCTCACATCGTGGTGGGAACCCCCGGCCGCGTCTTTGACATGCTGACTCGCAAAAACCTCTGTGAGTAACAGACATAAATGTTAAGGTAACGCCGCCTCAGGGTTCAGATTTACTCCAGGCCGCATCCACGTTAGGAGCTGCTGTATAATGATGAAATCCATGCGTGTCAACTGACTCCGTCAACCTCTGACGCCGAGCTGCTCTGGTTGGCGTTCTGCTAGCCGGCGCTGTCCCTGCGTCAGAAGAACGGAGACGTGATCAGACTCCCATGTTTCTGATTACAGCCGTTATCTGAACGCCGCTTTCCTCAGGGAGGAACCAGAACCACCTGTTTACAAGTTAGAGATCAAATCTGATTTAATGGTGGACTTAAAACATAATTTAATCATTTTATGGAAAGTTCCTCTAACAATCAGTCTGTTTGATCGACTTTAGATGAATTTATGTATCTGGCTGGTTTCCTGGGTTTAAATCAACATTCAGGTCATCTGGTTTATTTTTTTCAGCTTCCAAAAGCATTAAAATGTTTGTGCTGGACGAGGCCGACGAGATGCTGAGCCGAGGATTCAAGGACCAAATCTACGAGATCTTCCAGAAGCTGTCGAGCAACATCCAGGTGAGCTTCTGTTCTTTAGAGGCTTCCTGAAAACGGATCCGGTCCGCATCGCTAAAGAAACGTGTGCCTGCAGGTCGTCCTTCTGTCAGCCACCATGCCGGCCGACGTCTTGGAGGTCACAAAGAAGTTCATGCGAGAACCGATTCGAATCCTGGTAAAGAAGGAGGAGCTGACCCTGGAGGGTATTCGCCAGTTCTACATCAACGTGGAGAAAGAGGCAAGTTGTCGAGGGTTGTCCTCGTCCAGCAGGAGCTCCGCCCAGACTAAACCTGCCGCTTTGTTTCCAGGAGTGGAAGCTGGACACGCTGTGCGACTTGTACGAGACCCTGACCATCACACAAGCTGTGATCTTCATCAACACCAGGAGGAAAGTGGACTGGCTCACCGAGAAGATGCACGCCAGAGACTTCACCGTTTCCGCTCTGGTAAAGGCCGCCATGTTCTGAGAGCCGCCCGTCCCAGCGGCGGGAACGAACCTCCAGGTGCCTGACTCTGACTTGTTCTTCCAGCACGGAGACATGGACCAGAAAGAGAGAGACTTGATCATGAGGGAGTTCCGCTCCGGTTCCAGCAGAGTGCTCATTACCACCGACCTGCTGGTACGTTCAGCCGGACGCCATGATGTTTGGTTCACTCCAAGGTTCCCTCTCCTTCCACCTGCAGTGGTGGTTTAGGACTGAAAGTTCCTTGGTATAGAAACATGCCTGCTCTCCACTGTGGCCTAGTCAAAGTCTTTGTTTCACAACTAAACAGCAGGCGACAGCCCCTCTGATCGCTGAAAGACGCAGCGATTTAACTCGTTGTTTTTCCTCCGTCAGGCGAGAGGCATCGACGTCCAGCAGGTGTCCCTGGTCATCAACTACGACCTGCCCACCAACAGAGAAAACTACATTCACAGGTAAATGATCTGCTGCTCAGGAGACCAGTCTTAATGTGAATTTAAAAATGTGCTTCAGGAACACCTGGATGATGTCATCCAATAGGTTTAAATTACATTTTATCAATATTTTTCTTTTCATGTTAAATTTCACAACTTTTCTCCTCACTTCTGGAGGTCATTCCTCCTGAGTCAGGAGAAAAGATGCATTTTCATTGGTCTGCTGGAGGTCAGTGATGACGTCTGATTGGCTGGATGTGAGCTGGAAGATGAAAAAAAAAAATATTACAGCTGAAACGATCATATTGATTGAAATTAACTGATTTGGTTATCTGTTAATCTTTAACTGGAGTATAGAGACTCTAAAACATGCCTTAAGCTGACAGTGACCCTTTGAAGCAGGAGTATAGTATATATAGTACAAATTAAAAATGGTAAAAATAAAATTGTTCTATACCGAAACTTCTACTGGAGAAGTTTTAGCCCTAAAAAGCTTTAAATAAAACTTCTAAATATCTTCATTAAGAGGGAAAAATGAGGGAAGTGGTAATCGTTAATTAGATCTAAGAAAATTGAAAAGTTACCAGAATTTCTGTATTATAAGCGGCTACGTTTCCCCCCAGGGTTTATAAGAGGCTAATTTTATTCCCGCATTTGGGCGTTTACTTAAAGCTGCATTAAAGCTGTCGAACAAATGAAGAGACTGACCTCCTCCTGCAGAGCTGAAATAAAGCCCAACTTTCAGTAGAAGCTCTAACTGCTGCGTTCTTTGCCGACAGTAACGGCTAACGGTTTCCTCTTTCCGTTCAGGATCGGACGCGGCGGTCGCTTCGGCAGAAAAGGAGTAGCCATCAACATGGTGACGGAGGACGACAAACGAACCCTGAGGGACATCGAGACATTCTACAACACCACCGTGGAAGAGATGCCGATGAACGTGGCTGACCTCATCTAACTTCTACATGCCCTAACATCCACCCCAACCTGCTTATTTTAGAAGTGAAGTCCTGTTTTTTTCTTTTTTTTTTTTTTTTTTTTTTTTGCTATGTGATCGGGGGAAAGAAATTTTAAACTTCAGCGAATTTCACTGACTATGCTCTGTATCCAAATATTGAAAGTGTTTTTTGCCTAAGTGGAAGGATAGCTTGCTGAACTGTCATCTGTTCACCGTAGTTGTCGTAGACCTTCATGCATCTCCTTCGGTTCAGAACTGCCTGCATCTGTAAAACATTGATAAAAGCAATCTTTATTTCAATGGTGTTTGCTCTGAAATCTGTTACTTGAACTGAAGCGATCAGGAGTGTGGCTACCAGCGCGCTGCGGTCTGCGGGAGTTGTTAGGGAATGAAGTTGTTTTTGGGGGGGTGTTTGCCACCGGGGCAGTATTTATCCAGCCTTAAGTGTAAATATGCAGCGTTTAGGACGGCGGTCATAGCAGTGGAATAATGCGGGCCGCGTTCAGGAACGCCTTACCTGGAGACGAAGGGTTTAGTAGTGAAAGGCTGGCCTCGGATCCGTGCTTTCTGATTCACTTTTTTTTTTTTTTTTTTTTCTCCATCTCGGGGTGGGTGGGGTGTTAAAAGGCATGAAAGGACCAAATGACAGAAAATTGGAGAAAAAAGGCCATCTGTGTCACAAGCATTCTCAATAAGCTTCATTTAAAAAGTGCTGGCCATGTTTTTCCTTTATAACCCCCCCTCCCTCCATCTACTCCTCCCATCGCTTCAAATTTCATTACGGGATGTTAACCGTTTTGAGACGGTGTATCGAGTTTTCTACATTGGATTCTGTAAAGTATTTATTTTAATGGTCTTTAAAAAAAATAAAGGTTTCTCCTTTTTAACACAAACTGGTTTCTGCATTTCAAATTTGAACAAATGTTTTCATCCAAATTCTTCCATTAATGCATCGTCGGCAATTTCATGGAGGAAAATGACCTTTTGTAAAACAAAAGGTTGATTGCAGCCATTTTTCTTCCCATTTAGTAGGATCTAATATTTTATAGCTGCTCCCCTCAGGCTGGGTTCTGATGAGAAAACAGCGCCACCATCTGATGACTAATGAAGTATAAAGTATTATGGCCAGGATATTTTTATTATGAGAATAAAGTAATGCTAAGAAAATAAATGAGAATGCAGTACTTCCTGAGGAGGGCCCACCTGCCCCCACCACTGACCTATTCCCTGGATTGCTGATTGGCTGGGAAAAAAAGGGAAGCCACTGTCTGCCATATTGGTACTCCCCACTCCAAAGACATGCAGTAAAATGCTGTCTCACTGTGTGGTGTGGAGGCTGCAGCGCCTCAGACTGGAAGAAGGTGAGAACAGCAGAGAGGATCATGGGGGCTCCTCTTCCCTCCATTAAAGACATTTCATCCCAGCGCTGCGTGTCCCGTGACATCAATGCCCCCTCACCCCCCCACCATGGACTGTTCTCCCAGCAGGTTCTGCAGCAGCTTCTCCCCCCCCCGCCATCACACTGATGGAAAAAAACACTGAATGTTAGAAACGTATCTCAGTCTTATGTTTACATTTTATCACCGCTGCACTGAACTAACTTTCGTTTTGTATACACTGATTTAAAAAAATGGGGGGGGGGAATCAATCCACTGGACTTTGTTTCCAAGTCTGAAGATGTTTCTCTTCCACCCAGGAAACTTTTAAAATCCAAAATGTCAGAAATAGCGTTTAGTTCCAGGTTTTATCCAGCAGCCCAACTAAGCCTGGTTATGGTCTGCTGTCCTTCAGGGCTGCATCTCTGCTTCAACACGCTTGGTCCAATAATCAGGTTATCAGGGGTTGACTGGATGCGGAGGCGGAGACTCGGGTGGGTTGGACCTGGAATCCTGCAGACAGGCCCTGTAAACTATTTACCAAAGAATCACGCCGTAAAAATAATCAATTACCCCTTCATCCGTGCGGGCGCGGCACAGGCCCCCGCTGACACCTGCTGATTATCTGTTTATAGAAATGACCAAAAACACAGTCACATGTATGGAGTCACTTTTCTACCAGAATGTTGCACACACGCATAAAGCATGCTAACTATGACACCAGCACGTTTCAGTTGTTTTGTTTGGATGGCAGAAACTTCCCGCGGAGTCCGTAGAATTGTCCCGTACGCGAGGAGAGGCTGTTTTATATGTGAGCAGAGATCATTTTGTATCTGGGGACAATTTATAAATTATATTTTTAGTGCAACGTTAAAACTATTTTTTTGTGTGTGTGTTAAAGGACAGTTTGAAAAACAAATTTTTTTGTGAGTGACATTTGAGGAGAGTTCATAACACAAGTTTTATTTGTGAGTAATAATGTGAAACATGCTTTATGTGTTTCCAACTTGCTTTTTAGTACGCAACGTTTTGGCAGAAAATTCACTCCATACACATGGTGTTTCATCCACACACTTTAAAATTTCTAAAACTTGTTTCTAAATTATTTTTTCACAAATTCTTTTTGTTTTATAGCAGTGTGAACAAATAAAAGGTATTCATTTTTAGCCCCGCCCCCTAATGGCCGCCATCATTGGAAACTAGAGGGTCAGACCTTTCTAAGGAGGGGTCAGAGGTCATTGTGCAACTATTTCAGGTGATGTAACCAGCATGCGTTCCATAAGCTGCTCTGTTATTCTTATTTTCTATTCAGTTTGATGATTTTATTGGTAAATTTCAATGAAACGACTAAATCTGAGGAGCAAAGAAACAATCCAAAAATGGAAATCAGCATATTTTCCTGATCAGATTCCCTTTTATGATTGAAAAAAATGCATTTTGCACTAAAATCCCATTTCCTCCCAGCAGTCTGTTCACTAAAACCTCTGTGGAACAAACGTGCTTCAACGGATTCAGTCCAGATTAGCTTGAGTTCTAGTCAAGATGTGGTTCTATAAAGTCTGAGCTTCTAATCAGGGGCCGAGCTAGATGGGGGGCCAGGGGGGGCCATGGCCACCCTTAGCCAATCATTGCTCACCCCTAAGGCCCCCCTAGCATTTATTTACCTCTAATAAAGATGGTGGCAGCAGGAATACTCTCAATAGGCGGGTTTCAGTCACGTGACGATTCCGCGATTTCAGATGGAGGACAGGAAGTCTATGAAGTTAGCATAAACATGGAGGATACCGTTACCAAGAGCCCGTATTGTTTGGAGTTAGAGCCTGTTTCAAGACGCAGATACAAGGAGTTGATTGACAGATATGTTGGACGTGACCCGTACCTCATGAAGAGGAGTGAGTTTTCGCTGGACCTTAAAGATTTGCCGACCGTGGAGGCCGTCGACATAACGAACTATCTGGTCCTTCAGATGTCGTGTTACACCAAACAGCAATAAAAGTATGGAGGCGTATAACTTCTTCGTCAGCGGGTGGGTCCACAACGTCTCCACGACGATCATCGTTTAGTCTTCGCCAGGGTGAGTTTTTGTTCTTATATTGTTTTATGTGTTAAAAGATGCTAGCGTTAGCAGTAGCGGCTAGCCTCACAGTTGTTTATGTTTCTCTCGTTGAAGAGATGCTTCTGATTTGGGCTTAGTTTTTTGATAACCGGGGTTGACCGTCGGAGCCCAGTCTACCGATTCAACGTCAGCCAAAGCGCTAGGACAGCATAAACAGTGACAATGAAGTCCATATTAGACTATCGGTAACTTATTAATCATTACTAAGTACATGAGCATTTAACGACAACCTTATGCTATATAAACACAACCACAAAAAAAAAGTTAGCAAGCTAACATAACGTTATAGCGGTCGCTGCAGACACGGGCATTGGCAGACTGCTCCTTCAGATCGCAGACGTAGGTTTAGAATCCATTTTTTACGGCGTTGTTCTGTGAGCTTTTTACAATTTTCACCTTTATGAACAACAATCTTTGGTACTTTGTAAAAAGCTCTTTTCCTTTTCTCGGTTCCAACGATTGGAGCAGCCGTAAACTACACAAAATATAGGCGTTATTTCAGACGGCAGATCCTCAGCTACTTCACTTCCTGCCCTCCATCTGAGTTTCGCGGCGTCGCGACGCAGCACTGTGACGTCACGTGAAACCAAGCTATTGGAATATTCAAAACATTTTACATATATTACAAATATTTGACAACAAAAACACTATTTTTAATTATGCACATCAATATACTAACATTACAGGTGATAAGTACAGAATTCAAGCTCTTTTAAGAACTAGATTTTCTCTTTTATAGGGTCAAGTCAACTAGGCTACTTCAGTGCAATCATAAATAACTATTTTAATACAAACTCATTAAATAATCAATTTATGTAGATATTAGTACTTAAAAATATCAATTTTATGCAGAATGATTACTGATAAAAGTAGGTAAGTAATGACAGTTAAAAAGATGTTCGCTCAAAAGCTGAAAGAATTTTATACACTGTACCTTTTATCCAGAAAGCTCGGATGTTTGAATATAATCGTCTATTTCTTAGCAAAGTATGTGAGAAAGTATATTTTTTCTTTATTTAGAAAATGTGGATGTTTTGCTCTTTAATTTCCTGTTGGAACCGTGTAGATTGACCGTGAGGTTCTGGTGCTTTTGGCCACCTCTCAGTGTGCATTGGTTGGTGCCTGGCCGCCCTTATAAAATGTTCCGGCGCCGCCCCTGGTTCTAATGGGCTTTATGGTGTTTGGCTATAATGAAGTATCTATTTATTCTATGCTATTTCTAGAATAAAGTCGTAACACTGAAATTAATTTAGATTTTTATGCATCCATGTTATGCATGATTTTTTAAATAAAAAATATATAAAAGAAAATAGAAAATTTTTCCATGTTAAAATCTAAAGTGTTTTTTGAAGTAGAGAACAACAATCGTTCAGTTTGGTTTATAGATAATTTCCTGATTCCCATATTTTCTCAAACCCCTGAACTGATTGTTTGTTTTTTTCTTTCTTTTTTCTGTCTTAATGTTGGCAGTGGGCTTTAGGCTGCCCTGCAAGGCTTTAAACCTGGGTTTAACCAGAGACTAAGCCATTCTCAAGCACATATCAAGGAGCTCATTTTGAGCCTGGATCCAGATTTATTGTTGATTCTGTTCATGGTGGAGAATCCTGCTTCACAGCAGCAGGTTGAGCCAAACATCCTCTAAATGTGCAGGGTCATCTTTGAGCACGCCATTTCACTTTTCTTTCACCAGTTCACCGCAGTTCTTCCAGCAGTCCACACTTTCTCTGCTCTCTTTTTCTCATGGTCTTCTCCTTCTTTCCCATCGCCCGGCTTGCCACAGGTTTGCCTGCTGTGTCTAAAAGTAGCAGCAGCAGCAACCCAGACTGACAGCTCATTGGCTCATTTGGATCACGTGCAGCCTGGAGCCGGACGCTCTCCAGGGCTTTACCGTATTAACAGGAGAAGAGGAGCAAGTGAAATTACACTTCGTCATCAGACAAATGCATTCATTTATTAATGTTTTAAATTTATTTTTGATTAATTTAGTTAATTAATTTATTTATTTTTGAAACAAATTTGGCACGGCTAAATATTTTTCTTTTTTTTTCTTCGTTTAATCATCTATAAATCAGACATGGTGACATTTGAAATAGTGTTTCCACCTGAAATATATTCCTCGATGCTTTTCTGTCACACAAATACAAACTATTGTGTTTTCAATTCTTAGTTTTTGGAGATAAACCTGCTTTAATTCATAGATGTAATTTCAGGCGGAATTTGATCCTCTGGGAAAAATCCAGCAATATTAAACTTTAAATGATTCCAGGATGGAGGTAACTTAGGAAAACGTCTTTATTGATTTCATACATAGAAAAAGTTAAACCATCACTTGGGAAAAAATGTCAGTTTTTAGCCGACAGTTGATGAAATGAGTCGATGCAGGACTTGACGTGTCAAATCTGCTGATATTTATGAAACGCTCCTTGAACTAAAAGGGGAAGAAATGAGCTCCACTAAAGCGATGAACATCCAACCTTTGGTTCAGTTCTGGCCCATTCAGTCCCGACCAAAACAAAGAGGCGTCGGATCGGCCTCCGATCTCACACCTGAGGCTGCTGCTGCTGCTCCAGCATGGCTTCACACCTCCGACCCAGTTCCCCCAGCTTCACCTTGGTGTACTCGGCTCTGTTCAGCGACATCTGACAGTCCTTCCTGGAAGAATAAGTGGAGCCCTCGTGTGGCTGACCGGTAGCTACCTGTTGGGAAAAATTAACCTGGTTAAACGTTATTACTGAAAATCCACCGTGTTCGAATACTTATTTTCCTCACTTTAACACCTTAATATGACGGATAACCAGGCCACTCTCATCTGTTCTAAATGTCAATCATCTGTTGCAAACAAACATTCACTGTTTGGGGGATTTTAGAGCAATAGAGTCCAAGAATTAAGCGAAATCTCCTCATTTAAATTAACGAGGCATCCTGGCCTCATCACATTAGGTTTACCTTCAAAGACATTAGCTCCTTATTTACTTATCAACTTTTATTAATGATCCCATCTTGTGTAATTTTCCTATTTTCCCCTATAAGGATGGATGCAGGATAAATGGTGGGTTTGGGTCTTCCTGCTGTGCCATCCTTATGAATATATAGAGCACCTGTATATATATATGTTCTGTTTTAAAAAAAAAAATCTATAAAATCTACTTAGAAAAATAAACATTTTATGTTCAAAATTCTAAAGAGATTATTGGTTTTCAGAGCTCCTGAATGGAAAAGCTAAGAATATGGGAATATTTAGTTCAGGTGTCGAATCCGTCAGTCATCTATCCACACCGCATGGCATCCAAGTCCCGCCCCCAAAAAAGGTTTTTTTTTCTTTTAATAGAAGAAATATTTATCAAAAACAAAAAGGAAAATTGAAAAGAAAAAAATTTAAACCAAAAAAATAAAAATAAAAAATTGGAAAGAAAAAAAAAAAGATTAAAACCGAAAAAACAAAAAAAAGGATTTGAAACCTACGAAAGAGTATTAGGGCCAGGTTAGACATTTTTTTTGCTATTTCGAGAATAAAGTCATAAAATTACGAAGAATAAATTTGTATTTTATGACAACTCTTCCCAGAATCCCTTTCTTCCCTCTAATGATGAATGTGGAGCATCATGTGAAGTTCTACTTTAGCATCGGTTTAACAAATCAGGAAATCTTTTAGCAGCAGCATCAAACTGGGCAGGATGTCAAAGTGGACTCTGGTTGCTGATTGGTGGAGCTGGTCTGATGTCATCTGCCGGGCAGAGCTCCAAGCTTTCTTTCTGAAACCGGTTGATGTATGATGACTTTATTCTCATAATATTGCGACTTTATTCTCAAAATAATAATAAAAAAATAGCCTAGCCCTAATACTCTATCGTAGTAACTAAATATAAATGTAATTTTATTTTTGTTTTTATCCTTGTTTTTAAATATCTGAAATTAAATAACCTAGCTTGAAACATTTAGTTTCAGTTTCAAAAGTCTTTGTCAGTAAATATTTTTTTTTTTTGTGTAAAATTAAAATCCTTTCGAGCTAATTTTATGGCATGATTTCCTTCCATACATTCCCGGGTATGCAGCACCTGCACCAGAGGCTGCAGAGCTTCCTGACCTGTGTGAGGTAGCGGATCTGGGCGCTCAGTTCGCTCTCCACCCGGTTGATGGACGTCTGGAACTGGACCAGCTGTCTGTCCAGGAAGCTGGCGTTGTGTTTGTCTTTGGAGAGTTCCAGAACGATGTTCCCTGCAAAGAGACCGTCCAGGTTTACCGCAGGTTCTTCCTTTAACTCTTACATAATCTTCCGTTATTACTTAATTACGTAATTAACCCGATGCATGGAGCCCATAGAGCTAAACACTGCATCCAAGTAGTTCTATTGACCGACTCACTAAACCGGATTTAAAAACAACTGTCAACATGATGCATCTGCTAAAAAAAAGTCTCATCTATAAAATGATCCAGAATTTTGGAGCCTAAAAGCAAAAGGAACATCATTGTGTTTTTATTTTAATTTTCTGGTTGCGTCATCCTTTTCCTCTCAGTTATCACTCAACTTACCTGAATTAAAGTTCATTTCAAATTGACTCTTAGTTTATTTACTGTACTTATTGTTTTAAAATCCTAGTCAAGCAACATCCTCATTCACATTTTCCCTTATATTTTCACATTATAATACTTGTTTACATTATTTATTGGCTGCATATAAAAATATTAAAGATATTTTCAATTTAAACATAGATATGAAATAATAGAATATAACCTACAATAATTTTCCTATTTTATTCAGCGATTACAGGGTTAACACTCTGCTTTGTTGTCTCCCAGGCCCCTACACTTATAGAAAGTGGACTGACCCATACCACTTCCTGTCTTACCTCAGAGCAAAAAAAAAAATTATTATAATGGAATAAAAAAAAAAATCAAACAGAGATAAATGGAATCAACAATTATTAGTTGCAAATCAACTGTAAATAATACACAAAATATTGATTTGAGAATAAATTAATACAATTCAAATTGATAAAGAAATAAAGAATAAATAGCTCCAACATATATAATTCAGTTTATTCTGTCCTATCAGCTGCCTGTATTGTCTCTAAACGTCCAGCAGGTGTCAGTATTCCGTGAGTTGAATCAACACTGCATCAATAGTTGCTTCATTAAACCGGGTTAGCTTTCATCTGGATTTATACTCAGATGTAGCTGAATATCATCACCGTAACAGTGGAAATTGTTATTTCTAATCTTTCCTTCTAAATTTGCGTGTTTATTCTAGTTAAGCCACTTTAAATCCAGAAATTTTAATCCCTTTTTTTAAATTCTTTGAATGGCCCTAATAGGCCGCCGTAGTTAGACTGATATCGGAGGAATAATGGGTTCTGGCATCGGCCCGCTGGGTCTCTGCTAGCTCCAGTTTCCTCACCAGCGCACTGCAGCACCACCGCGATCTCCTTCTCCACCTCCTCCAGCAGTCGGAGCCGCTCGTTCGCCATCAGAGCGGGAAAATATTTAGATCCACCGGAAGAAGATTTAAATCCGCCACAAAAAAATAAAAAGGACAAAGAAACTCAGCAGAGTTTCTACAACCAGTGACCCCAGCCTCTCTACGGCGGCGCGAAGAAATGACGAAGCGGAACGCGGTCGCTGAGTAGTGACGTCACACTGGCGCTGAGGGGGGCGGAAAATGGCTGCCTCGGCTTGGATGCATGGCGCCGCTGCAATGAGACTCACCGAGGGTTTGGTGTCGGTGCTGAAGGAGCAGCGTCCGGAGTTTCTGTCCGAAGCCTTGGAGAACTACAGAGAACATGGCGTCTTCTCCTCACAGGTAACCGGGGCGGCTTCCGGTGGACCGGCCGCTCCAGCCTTTGTTGCTCGGCAGCTGGAAACCGACCGGTGGAAATCCTGCGTGTTTTTACCTTTTGTTGTCTCCTCCTCAGGGCTCCGGGGACGCCGCGGGGCTCGTGGGGTTCAGCAACGCCAAATTGAGCTCCAGTAAAACCAGGTGAGTGACGCGGCTGCTGGGTCCATGATGCTCCGGGAGGGGGGGAGGAGCAGCAAGATGGTCCCGGTGTCAGAGCAGCAACCCCTCAGTCAATACCCGTTTATCCCTTTGGTTTATCTCTTTAGTTTATCCCTTTGGTTTATCTCTAGTTTATGCCTTTGGTTTGTCTCTGGTTTATCTCTTTAGTTTATCCCTTTACTTTGTCTCTTTGGTTTATCTCTTTAGTTTATCTCTAGTTTATGCCTTTGGTTTGTCTCTGGTTTATCTCTTTAGTTTATCTCTTTACTTTATCTCTTTGGTTTATCTCTTTAGTTTATCTCTTTGGTTTATCTCTAATTTATCCCTTTGGTTTGTCTCTGGTTTATCTCTTTAGTTTATCTCTTTGGTTTATCCCCTTACTTTGTCTCTTTGGTTTATCTCTTTGGGTTTTATTTTCTTAATTTTAAATTCCCCTTTGGTTTTTCCCTTTGGTTTTTTTTCCCTTTTTGGGTTTTATTCAAGTTTTATCCCCTTGGGTTTTGCCCTCGGGTTTATCTCTTTAGTTTTATTTTTTTAAACCTTTTTAATCTCGGGGGTTTTATTTCCTTTTTTTTTTTTAACCCCCTTTTTGGGTTTTATCTCTAGTTTTTGGCCTTTTGGGTTTGTCTCTGGTTTATCTCTTTATTTACCCCCTTTACTTTTTTCTTTTTGGTTTTATCTCTTTAGTTATCTCTAGTTTATCCCTTTTGGGGTTTGTTTTCCTGGTTTATCTCTTTATTTTTATCTCTTTATTTTTGGGTCCTTTTTTGGTTTATCTCTTTGGGTTTATCTTTTTTGGTTTTAATCCCCTAATTTTTTTCCCTTTTGGTTTGTCCTGGTTTATTTCTTTAGTTTATCTTTTATTTTTTTTCTTTTTAAAGTTTATTCTTTGGTTTATCCTTTAGTTTATCTCTGTTTTTCTCTTTACTTTATCTCTTTGGTTTTTTCCCCCTTTAAATTTTGGGTCTCTTTGGGTTTATCTCTTTATTTACCCTTTTAAAGTTTATCCTTTGGTTTATCCCCTTTGGGTTTTTTCCCTTTTTGGGTTTATCTCTAGTTTACCTTTGGTTTGTCCCCCTGGTTTTTTCTCTTTATTTTAAACCCATTTTATTTTTTTACCCTTTTTTATTTTCCCTTTGGTTTACCTCTTTTATTTTTTTTAACCCTTTTTTTCCCTTTAATTTTTTTGGTTTATCTTTTAGTTATTTTTTGCCTTTGGTTTGTCTTGGTTTACTCTTTAGTTTTTTTTTTTTTCCCTTTTTTTTTGGATTTTCTCTTTGGTTTATCTCTTTTTCCCTTGGTTTTTTTTTTCCAAAGTTTATCTTTTGGGGTTTTCCCCCTTTTTTCTTTTGGTTTTCTCTTTAGTTTTATCTTTTTTTCCCCTTTATTTTGTCTTTTTGGGTTTTTTTTATCTTTTTGGTTTAATTTTTTTTTCTTTTTGGGGTTTTTCTTTTTAATTTACCCCTTTTTGGTTTGTTTTGGGTTTTATCTCTTTAGTTTTTCTCAATTTTTACCTTCGTTTTTTTTGGTTTTTTTTTTTTCCCCTTTTTATTTTTCTCTTTTTACCTTTGTTTTCTTTTGGTTTTCTCTTTGGTTTATTTTTTTATCCTTTTTTACCTTTGGGTTTTCTCTTTTGGGTTTTCTTTTTTAAGTTTTTTTTTTTCTCTTTGGTTTACCCCCTTTTACTTTTTTGTCCTTTTTGGGTTTTATCTTTTAAGTTTTTTCCCTTTGGTTTTCCCTTTGGTTTATCCCTTTTTTTAAATCTCTAGTTTTTAATTTTTTTCTCCTCAATTTTATCCCTTTACTTTATCTTTTTTAGTTTATCTCTTTGTTTACCCCTTTTTTTGGTTTATTTTCTTTTTGTTTTTCTCTTTGGTTTTCTTTTTAAAATTACTTTTTTGGTTTTAAATCTTTTTGGTTTTTAACCTTTTCTTTTTTGGTTTTTTACCCTTTTGGGGGTTTATTTTTTTATTTATTCCTTTGGTTTATTTTTTTTACCTTTTTTCCTTTTTGGTTTATCTCTTTAGTTTACCCTATTTTTATCCTTTTTTTTTTTGGTTTTCTTTTCCCCTTTTTTTTTTAACCTTTTTTTCCCTTTTTTTTAGTTTTTTCAATTTTCTTTAGTTTTACTCTTTTTTTTAAATTTTTCCTCTTTTTGTGTTTTTACCCTTTTGGTTTATTCCCCCTTTGGTTTAATCTCTATTTTTATGCCGTTTGGTTTTTTTTTTCTCTGTTTATCTCTTTTTTTTACCCCCTTTATTTTTTTCTTTTTGGGTTTTTCTTTATTTTCTTTAAATTTCCCCTTTTTTCCTTTGTTTATCTTTTAAGTTTTTTCCCGGTTTGGGGTTTTTTTTTTTCTCGTTTTATCTTTTATTTTTTTCCCTTTTCTTTTTTTGGTTTATCTCTTTGGTTTACCATCTCTAGTTTTTTGGGGCCTTTTTTTGGTTTTCCCTTTTTTTGGTTTTTGGTTTTTTTTTTTTCTCTAGTTTACCCCCTTTTGGGTTTTTATTTTATCTTTTTTGGTTTTTTTTTATCTCTTTTTTAAGTTTATTCCCTTTTCCCCCTTTTGCCCTCTTGGTTTATCTCTTTTAGTTTATCTCTATTTTTATCTCTTTGGTTTATCTTTTTGGTTTATCCCAATTTACTTTTGTTTTTCCCTCTTTTTTTGGTTTTCTTTTTTGTTTACCCCTTTTTGGTTTGTCCTTTGGTTTTTTTCTCTTGGTTTATCCTTTTATTTTTTTTTACTCTTTTTTTTTCCTTTGGTTTACCCCCCTTACTTTGTCTTTTTGGGTTTATTTTTTTTGGGTTTTTATCTCTTTTTATTTTAATTTTCCTTTTTGGGTTTAATTTCCCTTTTGGGTTTTTATCTTTTTGGTTTAGCCTTTTACCCTTTTTTTGCTTTTTTTTGGTTTTTTCTTTTTTATTTTTTTTAGGGTTTTTTTTTAATCTCTATTTTAAACTTTTTGGTTTATTTTTGGCCCCCCTTTTACTTTTTTTTCTTTGGTTTTTTTCTCTTTATTTTTTTTATTTTCTTTTTTTTAACCCCCTTTGGTTTATTCTCTTTTAGGTTTTCTTTTAAGTTTATCCCTTTGGTTTTTTTTTTCCCTTTGGTTTATCCCTTTTTTTCTTTTTGGTTTATCTCTTTATTTTTCCCCCTTTAATTTACCCTTTTTGGGTTTAACCCTTTTTTGGTTTCCCCCTTTTTTGGTTTTTTCTCTATTTTTATGCCTTTGGTTTGTCTCTGGTTTATCTCTTTAGTTTATCCCTTTTTATTTTACTTTTGGGTTTTTCTCTTTGGTTTATCCTTTGGTTTATCTCATTTTATCCCCTTTGGGTTTTTTTTTTACTTTTATTTATCCCTTTACTTTGTCTTTTTGGGTTTTAAAATCTTTTTTTAGTTTATCTCTTTTTTATCCTTTGGTTTTTCGTTTTACCCCCTTGAGGTTTTTTTTTTTGTCCCCTTTGGTTTTTTCTTTTTTGGTTTATCTCTTTTTTTTAATCTCTTTTCCCTTTGGGTTTTCTCTTTTTTAAATCCTTTAGTTTACCTCTTGTTTACCCCCTTTATTTTCTCTTTGGTTTACTCTTTTTTTAATTCTGTAAGTTTATTTCTTTTTGGGTTTATCTCTTTGGTTTATCCCCTTCCCCCTTTGTCTTTTTGGGTTTTCTTTTTTGTTTATTTTCTTTGGTTTATTTTTTTTAAACTTTTTTCTGTCTTTAGTTTTTCTCTTTGGTTTATCTTTTGGGGTTTATCTCTTTTTTTATCTCTTTGGTTTTTCTTTTTGGGTTTTACCCCTTTTTGGGTTTTAAATTTCCCTTTTTTGGGTTTTTTTTTATCTCGGTTTTATCCTTTTTGGGTTTTTCTTTTTGGTTTATCTCTTTTGGTTTATCCTTTTTTTTATCCCTTGGTTTTTTTTTGGTTTATCTTTTTAATTTTACCCCCTTTTTTTTTATTTTACCCTTTTTTTTCGTTTTTATCTCTTTGGTTTATTTTTTACCCCTTTACTTTGCCCTTTTTGGGGTTTATCTCTTTGGTTTATCTTTTTGGGTTTTTTCTTTTTGGGTTTTTACCCCTTTGGGTTTTATCTCTAGTTTATCCCTTTTGGGTTTTGTTCTCGGGTTTATCTTTTTATTATCTTTTTAGTTTTTTCCTTTTTTGGTTTTTTCCCCTTACTTTTTCTTTTTGGGTTTTTATCTCTTTAGTTTACCCTTTTAAAATTTTTACCCCCTTTGGTTTTATTTTTCCCTTTTTTATTTGGTTTTTTTTTTTCTTTTTATTCAGCCTTTTTTTAGGTTTTATCTCTTTAGTTTTTTTTTTTAATCCCCTTTGGTTTGTCCCCTTTTTTACTTCTTTATTTTTACCCCTTTTACTTTTTCTCTTTAGGTTTTTTTAATCCGGGCCTTTTATTTTTAATTTTTCCCCTTTTTGGGTTTTATTTTTTTTTATTTTTTTGGTTTATCCTTTTAGGTTTGTCTCTGGTTTATCTCTTTATTTTTACCCCCTTTTTACTTTGTTTTCTTTGGTTTTATCTTCTTTAGTTTAGCCTAGTTTATCCTTTGGTTTACCCTTTTTGGGTTTAAATTTTTTCTCTTTGGTTTATTTTTTCTTTACCTTTT